CCAGCTTGCACATGCAGGGTGCGCAATGGACAGGTCGCACTCGCGGCCCAAATGTAACACCCTATCGGGAATTCGGAGCCAAGCAGACTGTTGTATTCATATATGCCCATACAGCTGGTCAAACGTGGTCTGCCCCACTCTCCAAATTGGCCAACTGGTCGCAGATCAGCCTGAAACAAATAGTCATCTGCTGAGCAGATAGGCAATTTTCTAAACGATTTTCAACTTCTTTGGAGAACTAACTACCAAACCATTCACACTGACCCGTGCACTGGCCACTGCGCCTACCTGCGACATACTGGTTGCCCCAGAGGCTGCTATGCTGCAGGAACTCGCGGTCCCGAAGGCTCGGGGCCGCCTGTCGGTAGTCGTAGTCAGCCAGACCGTACCCTTCGCCGGCGGCCGCCGCCGGGTCGGCCAGGTCGTCGTACTGGAGCGACGGGTGGCGCAGTCTGGGGGTGCGGGTCAGGTCACGGGTCATCGTACTGCAGTGTAATGTGTTTAATATTTGACATTTTAATGTAAGGACTAATGAGTGATGTATCTTTTATGGTTAACGTGCGAAAATGTCCATAAAATGTGAGAAGAAAAATGATCGTTAACATGGCAAAAGGTTTTCCTTTAAGCAATGAAAACAAAGTAACAATTAATAAAGAGTTTTGCCGCTGAGGTGTCTATCTGCTGACGAGCTCCTGCGCCTCAATCCAATGCCGGCCCATTGCTGTAAGACGTTCAAACCGTTTTTATATGCTGCACATCAGAGATTGATTTACATCGTTATGACACTTCTTATATTTAATGCGCAGTGTCATTAGTGAAATGTCGGAACCGTAATGCCAACAAAAATATGAAAGAAAACTATTACATGCAGATGCATTATTCATATCTTCGTCACAGCCCCTTTCAGTTCCAATTGCATTCTGCGCAGCGACCCTACCAAGTGCAAATATAACCCGGCTGAAAAGTTACATCGTTTTCTGCGCTATATTTATAGTTCTTTCACTTAAGTTGACCGGGTGTGAGGTGTATTCGAACTGTTCATAAGCGAAACTTGTGCAAATTCACCATGCGTTAAAATCGCAGCCACATAATTACCCAGTTGTGTCTGAACTTTCTGCCAGCAACGGGAACACTCGCTATTTCAAACTATGATGAGTTTAACCAGGGGAACATGTTTGTAACATTCACGTCATTTCATAATTATTCGTATAAAAGTTAGCAAGGGGCGGTAGGTGGTACCGATTAAGATGCAAGTTAAAAGCCAGACGCTGAAAGTATCCAGACATAACAAACATGGTGAAATTTCTATGAGTTTGTACCTCATAACCTCATTCTTATTATGCACAGGTAACCACATCTCTTCCAAAACTCAAAAGCATGACGGATATTGAGTCGAAATCTCTCTATATACTCACGCTCGCTCCATGAACTCGACGTAGTCTGGAGACGGATAGTCCTTTGGCTCGTAGCGCTGGAGGACGTTCTGTAAGAACGCGTCGGCCAGGTTGTAAGGCCCCTGAAACCGGCGGACAGAACGTGAGCTCTATCAAAACATTGAAAATGTGTAAAATTTACGCTGGAGAAGTGCGAATAATTATGTCATTTTCCCTTCATCGTCCGTTTAAAAGGTTATATTATGCCCTGGTCCTTGAAAACTTCTCCCTCACCTTATTTGCGGAGAGGTGCTCACTACATTTATTTTAAGAGAGAAAAGTTGAAATGATGTGCAAAAGCTGCGCATACAATAGTTTCTCCTCCTCTCTCCGCCGCCTCTCCCCTTCTCTCCGCCGTCTCCCGCAGCACGCGGAGACCCGGCGCCGCGCGGCTGCCGAGGTGCTAGCGCCCTACGTGATAATGCAGTCTCCGGCCGGCCCGCATTGCACGGGAGTAGTGCGGCACAGCCTACCACGCAGGCATTCTGCTCGGCCGCCCAGTGTGGCGAGTTATCAGTTCTCGCCGGCCGTTCCTGCTCGGCGAGAGCGGCGGAGAATCACAAGCAAGATGACCATATTCCTTTGTCTAGGAACGAGGTGTGCATGATAAGATGTATGCCATATGCAGCTCCCATGTCTGAGCAAACAACCAAGGTCCAAGCTGAGGCCGGCAAAATAAGAAAACAGGTAGAAGTTAAAACGTCAAAACTTAAATAAAATCATGCCCACAATCATTGGACAATATGATATTGCCGTTTACCGGATGTGAATATGTGTAGATGTTTTGATGAAAGGTACGAAAAGGACATTGTCATCCAGCGAGGCTGGAATTGGCGGTGTAACTTTCCTCAGAAAACCTCATTAGAGATTCATAACGTCACCAGTGTAACGGAGACCTGTACTTTACTGGTGTTTTTGGGCTTCAGATTCTTTGAAAGCTAACGTATTCGTGACGTCCATAGTCCATATGGAGGCAACGTGCCAGAAAGGTCCCACGATGAGTGTCACTGTTGTGTTTCACGTAAAATAAAAAAGATCCCGCCTTTATTCAGAAAAACTTAAATGCATTTCAGCCTGCCCAGGCCGAGACCATAGGACATAGGTGTGGGAGTTGGAACAAATGAAAGTGGGACGAACGAAAAACAGGTGATGTGAAGAGCTCAATAATAGGAAAATTTCATGAAGATGACAGATACACAAAAGCTCGGAATGGCTATTCACGGTGCATAATTTTGATTTTTGAAATGAGCTAACAAAGCAAATGTTGAACGAACACCAGTTTTTCAACCGTGCACCTTTTTACTCAATATCCGGTCCGGTCCGTCTGTAGGTAAATTTTCTACCAAATAGCTCATATGGCTACCACTCTGCCCACTTCTGCACGTCCCCCATCCATGATCCAGGAGTGTAACAGCCCCCTCACCTGGCCACCATCCTGTGCAGGCACCTACCTCCATGTGCGGGCCGCCATATGCCACGGCCGCCAGGGCCGCCAGCAGCAGGGGGATGGCCATCCTGCCTGGTCCGTTCGGCCCCTGCAACAGAGGCGGACGGCGGCACTCGGTCACCAGCGACCGGTCGACAGCGCACCAGCTCAGCAAAGGCAGTCCGGCGGCAGCGGCCGCGCACCTACCTACCTGCAGCCTGCACAATGGCGGCTGCCGCCCTCCGCGCCGACACGATCAATGACGCCGCTGCCGGTGACGTCACGCGCGCCGTCAGCTGACGTCGCCGTCACCGACCCACTGGTTGCCGCCGTCGGATCGATTCTGGCCCGCTGGAGTGGCAAAGGTCACCGGCGCCGGAGGCGACCCGTCGCCCAGTCAGGGAGTGGGAGGCAGACGCCGCAGGAAGGGACACCGGCGGCGCGTCGGGCCCGTCGCTAGGCTGCGGTCGACGGTGTGATGAGAGTCCATCATATTAGGTCATATCGGCTCGGGTCAGGTTGAGTCACAGGCTTTACAGCCCTATGAGGCTAGAAAAAGCTAAGCCGGCTGGATAATTCGAACGTCTGAGGCGGTGAATGACCGGAAACGAATTTTCAATTTACTTATAAATGGTGTCGGAAACGTTCTCCCGAATGGATGATGAAAGAGCACGTATTCAAGACAGTTAGAACGTTAGTTACCTTATAAGCATGAATGCATTGCATTCACGAGTCATAGATAAGGCAGAATAATAGAGCATTTTATAGCATGGCAATGCGACCCTCCTGGCCGTCCAGACTGATGCTTTCTGCTTAGGATAAGGAATGCAAATATATGTTTTTAATAACTGTCAGTGACATGCCTGAGCGCTTTTATGACTTTGCAGGTAATTTAGCAAATTTATCCGTAATTTACAGCCCGATTAAATCCGTCGTTCCAGAACTTCCTATCGATCATGGCTGCAGCGGCCGGCGGATCGCCCCCACATTGGCCGCGATTATATTCAGCCGGGCTGGGTCAGAAATAGTTCGGCCGGTGGCGGTGGCGTGTCTCTGTCAGTCCGGTCCGCTCCGTCCCCGGCCCTCTGATTCGGTCCCGGTCTGCAACGTGTAGCGGTGTCGATGACGGCGATGGACGGCAGTTAGCACGGCACGGCACGGGAATGGATGGAAGCACGGCACTGGGACGGATGACTCTGCGTGAAAAACTACACCGATTGGACTTTAAAACGTAGCCGACCTCGGCGAAGATAATGTTTAATGACGCAGCCTACAACCGCGGCCGTTTTATTTTGAAGAGGTACAGGTCTCGCGGGTTTTAGCGGTAGGTTTTGCACCTAGAAAATTTAGTGTACTTCAAGCTAAATCTCCGTCGTCTTAAGCTTTTAAGTGTTGAAGATGCGATCGGCTTGTTGGATCACAAGCCGGCCATGATCGTGTAAAATGGCTTCATCGTAGATCGATTAGCTTATGAGATATAACCGGAAATGTAAAAGTGCAAAACCTACCGCTTAATCTCGCGAGAGCCGTACGTTTACGAATGAATGAATGAACTACTATGATCGGAAACATGATTTATTAACCAACGGCCGCTATGGTAACCTTACGTTTTTACTGATCACTCAGATCACCTTACGAAACTACCGAGGTCCAATTCGTGCAATGTAAATTGCTGAGGTGATTTCTGAGAAACAATTATCCTCAGACACACTGCTGGCACAACATAGCGGCATCGTTTCAGCTTGCATCAAAACGCAAATAATTAGGGAAACGGCCAGCTGGTGTGCGCGGAGACGTGCTATGCGTGTGCTTTAGTAATTAGTCCTCCTCTAGGTCCAATCTTATAAAATGCCGTACTTTTGGTAGCATTTACAGTGATACGAGTGCCGACAAACGGTTATCCGAGTCAACGAAATGATTCTTTGGACCGTCAACATACGATGGACTGAAATGCGTGAAAACCATTTTGCATTTGATAGCCGTTTTCTGCAGCTGAACTTCAGCCAGTGCCCAGTGCTGCCATATCCATTCCACGGCGTTTATCAGATTGAGCCGATAGCTGCGAGTCACTCAATCACATGTTCGTACTTCAGGTACTGCGCAGATGAAACTAGCCCGAAAGCTGGCAACCAAAGTCTGACGACCGTAATAATATCGAGTTTATTTGGCGGCGCACCCGGAGGCGGCTGCAGCGTAGTGACACACTTTTCTCCATGTCCACACCCGACTGGAAGACCTTCAGGTCGCGGAGGGACTCGACACACACAGAATGTAGTTCACAAACATATTATGCAACAACCGGTACGCATGATTCCAGTCATTTCCTGATCCCTCAAATAAAAGTCGTTTACGAAAAAAGCAGAAAAGTACAAACAGCAAGTTTGACAAGCATGCAATTCATAACTCCTTTCAAGAACATTCTCCGTTTCGCTTGGTGTCCATCTGAATGAGTTTCAGATGCATTCAACAGCCTTTTCGTCGATTGTCCGCCGATAACACGAATATTAAATCCGGAAAAGACGTTTCGAATGGTGAAATGATTGGCATGGATAAGTTATGGATTCACAGTTTGCGCAAACGTGCACATGTACCACACACTCGACACACTGTATACAGAATGCAGCAATCCTAAGACCAGAAGCAGATCATCAATCGTACTTCAGATAAGTCTGAAAGAAAATATGTTTAAGTGCGATTAATTGTGGAGTAATATACCCACAAGTTCGCCTTCCTATTGCCTAAAATACACATACATCTGACTTCAGTCACATGCCACTCTCTCCTGTCACATACAAGATGTTCACAAGTCCTTAAGAAGAACGCACCCTTCATCATTCGTTACTAAATCGTTGTACTAATTTCTTTTCTAGGGGAGAAGCGACATGAAATGCTAAAACGAAGTATGTTCCCGAGCTGATCGTAGAATCACGATCTTCCTGTGAGGGGCGGAGCTGCCCCGCGATCTCCACTGACTGCGTCGCTGTCTGCGACAACTGTCTGTCCGTCCGCTGTCTCCAGTGCCGCTGTCTGCGGCCACTGCTCTGTCCACCGCGCCTGCCCGGGATGCTGAGGGAGCGCCACACCGGAAGACACCTCAGGTCCGGTCCGGTCCGGTCAGGTAGGTCAGGTTGGGTCGCCGTAGCTGTCACCCAGTGCCCAGGCAGGGCCCCTCTTAACCCTCGCACGACCAGGCCATTTCTCATAACACGAACGACCAGGGGGGGGGGGGTTGTTACGACCCCCCCCCCTGGCGTTTCGAAACGGAAGGTCGTAGAGCTTAGCGGAAAAAACCAACGGATTGCTCTCAACGAGATCTCGCGATTGGTGGTATATTTTTTGGTCCTAGGTCAACATTTGACCTACTTATGACCGGTCAAAGGTCAAATTTTCCGAAAAAATCAAACTTTTTCAACTTTCCGCGGCGATTGCGGCAAAACGGTGGGAGATATCGACTTGAAACTTTCACTATCGTGTTCCTTGATCAATTCTCTATCGTTTGGTATGTATTTCGTTTCCCTAGCTCTAAAAATGGCGCGTTGGGAGCGCCGGAAGTCGGCAAGGTCACAGTCGGCGGCAGAAATTCGAAAAATCAAAATTTAAATTTTTGAAATCTGATTGTATTTTTGGATTTGGGAGGTCCATTTGCTTCCTATAGAAGCTAATATTGCTGCATATTCCCATTGAGGTGACAAGAATTAGCAAAATAGTGGTTCGGGCGCTTTTCAAAAATAGTACCGGACGCTGTTCCTCTTGTGACGTCATAGCTCCGTGACCTGACCTGACCCGGTCAATTTTCTTGCACCACACGATAGCCAATGCTTGCCCCAACATGCATGGGAAGTTTCATCATGATCCATCAAACAATGTGGGTATCACCGGCAGAAAACCTAGGGATTCGGCGCACACGTTTGGTAACTGTCGGCCGGAGGCTGTACCTCTTATGACGTCATAACTCCGTGACCTGACATGACCCGATCAATTTTTTTTTCGGCAAAAGATGCGCAAAGGTTGCCCCAGAGGGTATTGAAAATTTCAGCCCGCTACGACAAGCCGTTTAGCGTGCACTTCGAAAAAACCTCAGGGGGGGTTGATACAACCCCCCCCCTAGGCGTTCTAGGGTTAACTACCAGCCACCATCGGCCGTTCAGCTTCCGTCGAAGGGCGGGGCAGAGCCGACTCTCGTCGGCCAGCGGTCTCGCACCTACTCCCTGAAGCGGTCCCGACCGCTAGAACCACCTACTGACAGCTAGTGGCCATCACACGAACCACCAGTTCCGTGCGGCGACAGCAGTCCACATCTTCCAACACTTTTACCTATTGGCGGCCGCGTCAATGCGCAGACCAACAGTTCCACCGCAGCCCGTGCGAGAGCGGCCTGTCGCACCACTAGCGCCGCCTAGCGACTGTCGACCGACACTCTAGTACCCTCCGTTGCCGGGCGCGGCGGCAGTATCACAAGCTCTGAAAGTGCTCTCGGTTGACGCGTGTCGGTTGGGCGCGCTCAGATCTGGTTGACAGTGAAGCGCCACTGCTGGGTCAGCGTCTCCGGGTCGCAGGCCCGCGCCACCATACCGCGCGACTGGGGTAGGTCTGAGTCGGCACAGAGGTCGAACAGCACGTGTCGAATGGTGCCGTCCCGCCGCTCCCACCGCTGAAATGGAGAGCGGAGTCAGATATTGGGCCGACCGGGGAGGGTTGAAGATATGAAGCATGGGATATACTGCACACATTTTAAGGAAATAAAGAAATCCACTGCCACACACGCATGTTACTCAGAAGTTTACAGAAGTACCTTTTACGATGAGCCTACCAAATCAAAGGAAAGGCAGCAGTTAATTGGACACATTTCCTGTAGACAACATATACAAAGCCCCTGGTTGGATCCGCAACAGGGCATGGCTCGACCCGGTAACACCACCACACCTCTCCGGCTCCCTCAGATACCCCCGCTGGTATATCCTCCAGTAAGTTCCCCACCACCCTCCCCTGGCTCAGCCTCTCCCCGCTATGTCTCCCCCTATCTCTCACCTGGTTGGTCTGACTGGTGCGGCAGCGCTGCAGCAGCACGGGCGCTCCGGGCCGCGCCTCCAGCAGCGTCATACACAGGTCTCTGTGCCGGATCGTCTGCTCGCGGGTGTAAGTCCAGTCCTGGGGAGCGGCGATCAGGGGGTGAGCTCTGGTCAGGTTACGGGGCAGGGGGGGAGGGTGGGCGGGGAATGTCATGGAATCCGCAAAGGGTAGGGAACGGCAGGATAGGCCATGACAGGACAGAGGAAAAGAGGTCAGGGCAGGGTGGTGGCGGGGGAAAAAGACCACATATGTCATCAGAAGACATCGATAATCTAAACTAAGCTAGCAAACAACATGCCACCGTTCAAGCATGCAAGCCGATGAAATCATCATAATCATTCGTCCCATTTGTAACCCAGATCACTCCTGAACGCATATTTGACAACAGCAATGAACTAGCCCCAGCCCGTTTAGCTGGACGCTCAAACGCTCTGCTTTACAAAGGCCCAGGTTAGTGCCCTGAGCTGCCGAGAACAGAGTTGAGACGGCATTCTCACCTGGTTACCCCCGCCGTTGTGGCAGGAGTAGAGGCCCACAGTGCCGTTCACGATGTGACCGAGCGTGTCCACGCACATGTGACCCTGAAACAGATGTCAGGTCAGGTCAAACCGGGTCAACCGAGATGAAAGGGAGCGCCATAGATCTATAGACTCAAATTCATATTGGTACTATAACAGCCGAAACCTTCGGCTGATCTTGACAAAAGCAATACTATCTTAACACTACGACAAATTGTACTCAAGCACGATTCCAACGGTGACACTTGTGAACAAAGAGCGACGCCTTGTGGAGTTATTTCAGGCGCCACTCAAAGCGACACGGCTAATGCGAAGTGTTTGGCTGCCAGCGGAGCGGCCCATTTGTTATCAAATAAACGTCGGGCGTGACTGCCCGTACTTGAGCCTGCAGCGCCGCAGTCGTTTATGAAGTGTAGCACACTAGAGCCGTCACATTCCAGGGATCATTTCGGAGTGACGCAGCTTTAGCCGACTTCAAGACAACGTAAAACAACAGCACGTGCCAGGGAAATCACCTCAACTCTGTAGTTTCGGAGAGGAAATAGCTCTGATCTTATGACGTCAGCACGGTTCAATATACAACGACGTCAGTGAAGGGTGCCGCGGCGGACGGGAGTAACGCACCTGCTGGATGGAGCCGAACGCCATGTCGCCGGCGTCTGGAACCTTCAGTTCCGGGTAGACGTTATCGAGGAACCACCGGAACGAGTGGCACTTGAGCTGACGCTTCAGCTCAGTCCGCTCACGAATGCTGAAATACGGGGAGAGGGTTTGATTGAAGAGCATGACTATTGATGGGGATTTGTGAGGGATTCTCCCAGCTGGTTCGCAGCCTGAGCCTGTGATAAATGCTGCCAGATTAAGCATGTAATGCATGGGAAATGTTAAAACCTGACGAGGGGAGCGACGAGAGGGTGTCATTCGCTGAAAGCGGTGTCTAGCTCAGGATTAAAATATTAAATAACCCTGCATATTTTATAAAAGCTGTGTGATACCATAAGGCTGAATTCTTGCCCTTCATTCGCATAACGGCTGGGAGGAGACCGACCGGTGGTAGATCACTATTCCTACCTTCCGAACGGCACGTTTCTGGACAGCGGTACGGCGGCGTAGTAGAACTTCTTGTAGTCGTCCATCCACACCTCGGCGGCACGGCGAGTGTTCTTCGCAAACACCTGACGAACGAAAGGGATGGGGTAATGGCAATCCTCTTAACACACACGGGAAGGGTTGACAGTTGTCCTCAGCGGGGTTATCGAAAGGACTGCTTCGGGAAGTGGTCCTCAACACACATTTGTGATGCATCTCTGTGCTCTACAAAGGAAACAGACCATAAACGAATTGTATCCGATGCTCCATTTTACAAATGCGACATAGCGTGATAAATCGTTCGCTGAAACATTCCATGAAAGTCAACCTTGACAGCTGCTTGATAAATCTCACATGTCCCCCAAAACCGGCTTGAAAGAGCCGGACTGGTGCTAATCTGAGTAGTGAGCATGCCTAGCGTTTACCCGACATCACGATAGGTGCACTTGGTACAGGCACAAATCGTGTAGCCATCCACGAAATGCAGATGGTGGATATCCGGGTTTTCTTTCATATTGATAATACGAGGCGAAAACAGCGGCGAATACATTGCGGATATTCTCAATAAAAAGTCCTAGACTGAAAGTCATCCAACCAGGTAACCGCCTAACCGCTAATCGGAATCACGTTGGCTTCTTCCCCTGGCATTAGTGGCCAGCCATTCCGCCAGAACACACACCGCTTTCTCAGCCTGTAGCCCCATATTCACTGACTTCAACGCTACCCTGTACCCACACCGTAATCCTATCAGCTGTGAGCCCCATCACCGACCTAACCACTGCCCCGCCCTGTGACCTGACCCCGACTGACCTGACCGCTGCCGCCGGGGAACGAGTAGGGGTGCTGTTTCCTGAACACGTGACCCACACGGCTGCAGGGGATGATCTCCAGCGAGCCACCGCACTGCCACACACGGAACGAAAACTCTGCGGATACAAATGGGATATAGAGGTCAGCTCAGGCCCACACGCAGAACGAAAACTCTGCGGGCGAACGGAAAATATTCGTCAGCACTGAAGACAAAGTCAAAACGAGGGACTGAAACTCAGTGAGCATACAAACACCGACATATGGAGTTCACATTGGAACGAAAACTCTAACGACATACGTCACTGGTCACGAGTAAGCTCAGGTCCACACAACGGACAACATCTCTACAAACGAAAATTCGTAGGTCACCTATCCGCTCCGGGTTTACACTTCAGCTTCACACTCACAGAACGACACTCAAGTTGTCCAACAACACTCGTGGACAAAGCAAAGCATTGAGTGGGTGCTGTTCGAAAGTGTCACCGATATTGACGTCAACGTCAACACTGTCAAGGTCCACACTGCATCGGCAAATACACACTGTTGACCCCACAGCGGACGGAACGATCTATTTCCACACAGATTCTCGCTACGAACCATGACCTCACACAACAGCTGCGCAGCAAAGAATCACTCCACGAAACAACCGCAAGATAAGCTTCCACTTTTAGACGTGCTTCTTTACAAACACACCACCCTTAAACAAACTTTTTCACACCCTACAGTTTGTTTACATTTCGAGTCACAGACGCAGCCACCGGCAGACTCTTACTCGCCTAAAGTCAACATACATAGTTGCTGCAAGTACCCCTGCACCACGCTAGCCTCTGTGGCACCTATCGAGTCATCGACCCCCACTCGAGAAGGGAGTGGAGGGGAGGGCAGCACGCGACCCGTCCCGCAACGCTCCGTTTACCGGTGGCCAGCGGCACGATGAAGGGTGGGGCGAACACAGGCATACCTAACAAAGAACGCTTACTGAGAAATGACTATGGCATAACGAACGGTCCAACAAAACATTGCGACGATACTGTAGCACAGCGCCAATGGGTGGATTGGAGCCAACATTGTACAGTGGATAAGATCGGTGTAGTATTTGGTGGATAACATCGGCGTACGATTGCTTTATTGATACACAATAGCCAGTTGTTTGTCCTCGAAGTGCCGTCATTGACCAACCCGCTATGTTTACTAGGAACACAGCATCGTAGGCATACCGCAGGTAACGTACGATATAACACAGGCAGTTACCAGAAAGTACAATCAGCTAACAACATCAACAATCGGCACCACAGACGGGTATTTACCGATGCAATCAACCGGCTCCTACACCATCTATGGACCAATCAACTTGTTACAGCGTACACTAGTAGCTGACACAGACACCATCTATGGGCGGTCACCAGTACCACCCGAGACACCAGCCGCTGGCACCAATACCTGGTCCACATACGGTACAGGTTGGCACCGATTCAAAGTATTTGATTCGATTCGACTCTGAGTCACATACGACCATGGTTGGCAGTGAGGTACACCGTTAAGGCCTGGCTGCACTATGCGTTTTCTGCGTACGTTTTTTCGGGTTTGCGTGTTTTGCGTAATATCGTTCTAGAAAAGAACGATATAAAGTTTTTTTGTGATGCCTTTTATATTAAATTTTAGTTAATGTAAGAGTTATCTTAACTTTTGTACAGCATTAATGCAAATCTAACGTAAAATTACATTACTCTAACTTTCTTTCTAGAACGATATTACGCAAAAAACACAAACCCGCAAAAAACGCACGCAGAAAACGCAGTGTAGTGTAGCCAGGCCTTTACACGCACGTAACTCGGGCACACCCGAGGTCCGTACCACTACTTATGCGACAGAACACGCCAGCTGGTCTGGTAACCATCGGCAAAATATCCAGTAATGGATACTGGCATGGCCATTACCAAAACAACAAGCGCAAGCAATACAGCCAACAGGAGCAATACCACACATGTAGCTATACTGTGTTCGAGGGATTGAGCTAGAAGTTATCAGTGTTTGTAGACGCCTCCCTGAATGTACAGACGCCACAGTCTACAATGATCAATACACGTCACAGCGGCAAATCGAAGTTCAAGTTGGCTCAGCAGATTACACGAATCAATTCGAAGAAGGCATTTGTCAGACGTTCAAATTCCAGTCTTTAATTTGATCATGGACACCGAACAAATGTCATCGTTCATCAAATGGAGCGTCAGAGCTCATACGTCGACGGCGTGATACGGTAGCATCTTACTTGGCCCTCACATAGGAGTCTGCGGTAGGTGGGAGGGGGGAACTCTGGCGCCCGCATCGATCGACCCCTACATATAATACACCCAGAGCACCTAGGCCCGTTCTACCCTACATTTGACACGCCCAAAGCACCCGGGCTGGCGTGTCTGGGGGCCATCTGGTCACCGGAACTCTGTAAGGACTGACGCAAGGTGCGCCAGAATAGTGGTTGGTTGGGGACCGCCGCACCTGGCTACAATAGCCGGCACGCGCCGGCAGACCAGGGGAAGCCGATGCCGATAATGACACGCCACCGGTACCGCTGGGCAGAGGGACGACTCACGACGCTCTCTGACATAGGCTGGCACGGTGACACAGTGCACGACAGGCTGGCGAATAAGCTGGCTATGAAGGCACTGGTATCGGACTAGCGGTTGTGTGCACTGATGACTAGCTAATGTGGACACTGATGCATGACTAATGTACACAATCAAGACCGATGGACATACATATCGATGGTCAATTGAGGTACATTTTGTAGCGCCCAAAGGGCGAGACAGTACGTGGCTCCTATGCATTCGCAGGTGCCGCCCTACGAAATTAGAAAATCACAGTTCAAGGAACGATCGGTGAGCCATTTTGACGAACTGCTAAGCACGGTTTTGACGAATGTCTCCCTGCTTATACAGCGGATGTAGGCCCACATTTAGACGCAGCCCTGTTCGAAATCGATTGCCTGTTTCGAAGAATGTTTCCTAAACTGTCAGCTCGAGCCTCAGCCGGAAAAGCTCAGACCCGGCCGGGACTATGGCTGGGGCTGGGACCGAAACGGGCACCGGTGCTGAGGTAGGGTCGGTGCAGGGCGGGGAGGGATTCTGCACACTGAGCCAATATGGCCAACTATCGGCTCTGCAGATATCCAGTGTCGCTCCTAACTGTCCGGGGCCCGTCCAATTCAGTCAGATACTGAGCCGGGGCGTCAACAGCTGTCGTCACGCTCCGACCGGGACATTCCTCGACCAAGGCTCGAATTCACTAACCCACCGCGATTTTATGAAATCACACGCTGAATAAGCTTTGACCAAGCTCATAATCCACAATAATAACGGAGCACAAAAAAGACGCACGACAGTCAAAACAGTAGCACGATAATGCAATTTTACATCGCTATGAGAAGAACAAGATCGTATCTTTTTATAACAGGCTTTTATACTAGAAAAAAACATCTCCTCTAAAACTACCAGCTGTGAAATAAACTGTCCACGTTACTCGACTTACCGAGGTTCTCTCCACCCCACACCTCCATCTGCATATCGTATTTGCCGAGCTTCTCGAACCAGGCCTTATCCATGACGAACAGACCACCGGCAATCATGGGCGTCCTGCGAGAGACACAGGGACGGCGTCAGGTCAGACCGGTTCCCGTAAAGCAGCCACCCCTGTGACATACGGTTACTATGGCAACGGCGTGATATCCAACGCCGCAGAAATTCCGAGAGCAGCGCCGAGCCGATTCTCAGAACGGGGGCTTCAGAGATAGATTATCAGCGACATCAGCACATCGATATTTCACAGTTCTGGAAAACTTTGACAGTCTTGGACACGTGTCAGAAGCAAGGCGTCCAGAAGCAGAACGTGTATGCCATTTGACTAGAGTTGGGCGTGGTGGGCTGAGGAAAACACAAACATTCAAACTTTACGGAAGATGGGATGCTAAGGCGTCGGGAGGCAAATGCCACGCACAATTACTACTTTGCATAGAAAATGGCAGCGCTCCAGAGCCGGCCGTGGCCGTTAAATAGCGCGCCAGGGAGAAAAACAAGACATTCGCGGGTCAGGGCGCCTCTACGCGGAAACACACCGTGACAAAAATACAGAGGAACCTCAGGACGGCAGCCAACCAACCCAAGGACATGGCATTTGTTGAAGAGATATTAAGGAAAATCGTCCAAACATGAATAATACTGCATCGCTTAACATTTTTTTTTTCGGTGCGGTCCGGCATTTGCCTGCAATGCGACAGACAAATACTTTTACCTGACTAACAAACTTTTAAACTATTGCCTGCTGACACGCTAACATGCGTATCAGCACTCGTCGCTAGTGGCAGCCATTATTTCTCCCCTAACTACGTCAGTTTACAGCACGGCTATGAGCCGGCACCGTAGGACATGACCAGCGGTGGTCAGGTCTAGTTATTATTAGCTAGGTTTGTCTAGTTATCAGGCCCGCCGGGAGCGCTCACTTGATGGGCAACGTGGGGTCGGCGCGGTGGCGGCGCCGCTCCGTCTCCGTCATGTACTCCCACTTGAAGACCAGGTTCCAGTCGAAACCGCCGCGCAGGTCGGCAGAGGCGCCCACGTACTGGAAGTTGTCCATCGAGATGACGTCGATGATGGGGCAGACGACGCGGGACCGGTCCTGTGGGCAGCAGAGGACCGTCAGTCGGGCAAACATGAGACAGTACGACTGCTAGTACTGAGAACATGGGTGACATGATCAGACGACGAGTCAATCCTATCAATTCTTAACACTTCACACGGCGGCACAAAATATCGGCACGAATCGTGGACGGGCTCAACTGATGACACGGACTTCATTAATCCTGAAGGAGGCTACAGGCTACAGCACGGCCAAGCAATTGTAATATAATTGGGGAAGTGATCTGTGATAATACGCCAATCTGCGACCATTGATCGCTCTCGATTAAAGTCACTTCTGCAAGCCATCCCACTCAGCCCTAAAACACATTCCTCTGCAAAAGGACGTTCTTACGGTGAAATTGCGTCACAAAAACCGGTTTCTGAAATCACGTCCGACAGGGACCAAACAAACAATAAAGCCCAAAATTCTAGAGCTTCCAGCACAGTAGTTACTTGTATGTATAATATGTTTGTTATTTTTTGTACGATACGATGCCATAAAATGTAAGTTAACAGCGTTCGAGAACAAAAAAAAAACACTATCTTTGCTGTGTGACCACGTTGCACGCAATAATTTCGCAATACCGGAATGAAAGACACGGTTGCGAAACAAACGAGAAACTCTAATAATATCCCGCAATGTCACTGCATTTCATTATCGCGACTTCATCCTGATAAGACACCCGATTAACCGAAAATTGATGGCGAAAACTGCACAGTAACTGCATTATGCGGACCACAAAGGGGTGACAACTCCCTCTACTGAAGCAGAACATAAGAGCCGAGTATCACCCAGCTACAGCCAGCTGATGGCCACAGAGGGACACGGCATAGAACCAAAAGCCACAGCTGCGGCCGATCTGACGGCGGAAGCCGACCGTTTTCACATCCGATTCTGGCGCCCGAATCGCTCGGACGCAGCCATCCCAACTTCCTAGTCCGGCGGCTGAAGTGACCGACGACGGCATAAAGCATTGGAACGACCATCAGCTGCCGGCGCAGGGCCGACATTCATCATACGGCCGCCGAGGCACCGGGTAGACATCTGTCATACGGCCGCCGAGGCGACGGTCACATCGCGTCGGCCGATCACAGAGCGGGCGGCGATGATTGTGGGAGCCGGTGGGTCTGTCTCGCACAACACATGCCGACTATGAAAACTGAATGAAACGGGCGACTAAATGAAACGAGCAAACTAGGGTACGAGCTCGCCGAGACACATGGCTTAGTGCTTACAGTGGGTAGCTGTGAAAAACTACATTATGCGTATGCTATGAATATAAAGTTCCCAAGTGACGATTAGTACTCGCCGAACTACGAACACCTCTGGACTGGCATTTGTCCCTGAAACTGATCCTAAGAAAATAAAGAACATCCTTGAACTTGAATTGACATTTGTACTGCACGAACCGTTTGGGGCATTCAGTATACGAGCTCCCGTCATTGTATAAGGATTGGGTTCCACCAGTTCCACTAAGGAACTTGTTCAAGACGGTGGCTATAAGACGGACAAAACGGGCGTTTCTGTTAAGGCTGATTGCCGACCTTAGTCCTACATGGAGAAACATCCCAGTCCAATAGACCATGAACCAGGAAGTTAGCCTATAGCAGTCCCCGCTGGGGCCTGGCTCATTCTCTTAAAACCATGACAGAATGGCACATACATCTTCGCCATGCACCCATCAATCATTTACAGCTGGTCTTCCCCGGTTATGGAGATCTCCTGGGTCATAAAACGCCGCCATGTGGAACAGAGTCTCACCATGCTCCGACTGGGGACATTCCCTGACATTCAGTGAGGCTCGGACATTAGCCAGGCGTCACTGGAAAAAGGAACATGAACTCAGCAGTAGCTAGTGGCTGAGTTCGAGGATCAGGCAGGCCAACGGACTCAGGAGTTCACTCAACAATTTTACAGCGCAGCAGTCGGGGCATCAGTCCCCAGCTGGGTTCAGCAGTCATCCGATTCACTCCGCTGGCAGGTTCTGATATCTCTGACGACGATAAATCGCCGCCTAATCAATCAGCTAGTGGGCTCGCCGTGCCCTTCCGCACACTCGAACTGCCACCAAAGCTACTCTACTTTTCGACTTCAACTCGAATTTCCCCGTATACGCTAGTCGTCATTGACTAATCCGTCGTACACTCTCCCTTTCCAGCGGTGCGGGAAGAGGAAACACACCCTCCTCCCAGTGGAGTAGGTGGACGCTGTGTGACAGCCACCACGCATCTCATGTGTTGTTCCACGCCCTTCGCCTTATCTACGCTCCCCTCCCCTGAAAGGCGAGAGTTGACTTCTGTGCGGTCACATCGCTGGTGGGTCCCGAGTTTACCCATCGATGTCTGCATCACGAGTTTACGTCCACCCAACTTCAAAGCCGCTCGCTGCCTGGAACACTGGCTATTAGGAACAGAAAAGTCGCAATAGAAGGCAGTGGGGGTGGGGTGATGGCGTGGGCGGGGCGGGGGGCGAAGGCGGGGGGGGGGGTGGACCTCGTGCGTCCAACGCCTGCAGGGAGCCCAGAGATCAATACGCACGATGCGTGCCATTCGTGTGGCGCTCATTGCCACGCGTCACGCCCCACGCGCCCACACGTTGGCACAAACACTGCTCACGTAATACGGGCTGAATGGACAACGAATGGACGGCCAGGGGCGGCGAACTATTCGCCCTGCCGTCTTTACTAGGCCTGCCGCGTTCAGCGACAACGTACTCCTACTGTGTTCATAGTAGGCAGTGGTATAGTGCACAGCAGGACAAATAGACAAATGGCGAACACAATTTCATTACACTGAGCTACGCTATGAGAAGGTGGTCTATTCTCCCAGCGGTGGTATCGCACACTGCACCCAACGCCGCACTATGGCGTGTCCGAACCGATAATGGCGAACACAACACGACCGCTATTTACGCATTGGGCTGTCGCACAGGCCTGCTGACATGCATGATCGCCTTCGGTGGGTCATAACATTACCGCTGATGGCATGTAAATGCAGGACAGATCGAGCGACAAGCTGGGCCACAGGAGTTCACGGTGGCAAACCAAGAAAGCAATGTCAAACGTAGGACAATCGCAATGTCCACTTACTCTTTATGGCCCCATAAAACGACACCTCTTTCTTTGTTTCCCTAGCAGCCTAGGACTCGGGCTGAATGATAACGGCTGCAACACCATTTACGACAGCTTACCGGCACCTTCCGCGACTACAATCAGTAAAAGACCAATGCCAAGCCGACTTGGCCTGCAAAAAGAAAAGACAATGAAGCCGACTTGGCCTGAAAAAATGCCTGTAATGACATTAATATTTGTGGTGAGGCCCGATGCACCAGTTCCAACTCGCTATCGTCATACCCTCCTTGACCTCCTCTCGGTCCCACCAATAACTTCCCTAACCTCCTTCCAACACCGGTCCAAACACGCTGACCTCCCTCCTGCTGTGGTGTACCACCGGTACCGCCCCGGCTCGCCCCTGGCAGTGTTCCCCTGAGGTCGGCCTGCCCTGTCGGCCCCAAACCGTCAGCAATTAGCCACCCCGTGGACATTGCCCGACCGTCAACACTGCTAATTGCACCGGGGTCGGACACGCCGGGGAATTGGATGACACGCAGCTCGACACAAACAAGCTGAGTGGTCGGCTGACTTAGCTGTGCTCTGCACACACCAATCTGCCAAGGGCCCAAGGCCGTAGCGAATGACGAGTGACTGATTAATATTTCCTGCCACGAGACATTTCCAAAATCAATCAGCGAAAAACAAGCGGAACAGCTTTGTTGAGTTCTCACACAAAGAGCCGATACCTAACACAGCATTCGCAGTTCCTCACAGTCTCTTATTCCATTTACGCTTGTTTCAAAATAAACCAAATAACGTTACTTAGTTTGGACTAGGAATCTAGGGTTAATTTCCAAGCTTCCAGACGCTGGTGTCGCAGCTGCAGCTGACAAAAACACTGCTGAATGAGACAATCCAGCTTCAGACTCTTATACGCAGCATAAGCTTCAAACTCCACGAAACTTCATATCCAGTAGCGACTCCAAGCTCTAGCCAGAAACGTATCACAGCCCGAATCAGCATCTCAATGCGGCTCCAGCCAATAACAGCACGCCACTTAACAACTCGAACCGGGTCACCCGTTAGTAACCCACGCAGCCCTCAATATCTCACCACAGCTCCACTCAATAACTCACCAGAGTTTCACTCAGTAACTCACCTCAGCTACCCGCTCCAGCATAGGCTCCAGCCAGTTCTCGTTACACTCGCAGTGAGAGTCCAGGAAGGTCAGAATAGGCGCCGTGGCCGCATCAGCGCCCTTCACCCGGGAGCGCATCAGACCTGGCGAAAAACGGAACATCGGGCTCGTCAGATATTATTGATATAGTGTGCCTATGAAGTCTGAAGGTAGACAGTCGTTAACTCATGGAGTACAGCAGTATTGATAAACCCGTTCCTTTTGATACCACTCGTAAATCATGTCGTGGCTATTGATGGTAACATGACGCCATCACCACTGAAATAGCCGGGCATTAGTGAACATCACTCGACGTAGGACAAATGTCGTACGGAAAGCTCTGTGATTACGGACACCGAAATACTGCCCGATTCATTTCGGTTCCCTGGTAACTGTGACAAACCCAGCGCCAGGGCCGACATTTGGACCGGGCACGTCAATCTCTGACGTCACGCTCCTGTACTATGACGTCAGAAGTGTCCGGGTGGAGCTAGGGGGAGGGGGGTAGCCATTCCTCCCGCCCGAACCACCGCGAACGACATAACCGTCCCCGCTCGCACCGCCGCGGTTAACGCGCCATCATATATTCATAGCGTAGTCGACACCGGCTTAAGTTGCGGGAGGCAGGCACAGACTGCTGCCAGTAGCGGCGAGCCGTATTCGCAAGTCGTAGTCCGGGGTGGCGCGGAGTTGAGCCAGCCATCAGAGCTGAAATAGCCAAGGCCTAGGGCGGCTAAATCTGCTCGATTTGGTTTAGTTTGTGGAGAACGTGACAAAATGTTACCTTGATACGTTTTTACGGATGTGGTTCGTATATGGAGTGTCGGTCAACTTTTCAAAGGCCCTCTCAGAGATCCGACCCCAGGTCCTTGGCGGAAAAGTAAGAAATCCTGTCGTTTCACAGGACCACTCTGGAGACTCGAGAGACGAGTGAGTGGATCGATTTCGGCCAGCTCCTGCAGAGTGGAACTGAAGCGACCTGAGGGAGGTCGCTAAGAACGGAGAGTGGCGTCGGGGTGCAGAAGGGATAGTTGTAATGTGTAAAGGCACTGGAGGAGACGCGAGTATCATATATGTAGACATTGCAGTAGTAGGCACAGGCCAATGAGGAGGTGAGATGCAGAGGTAACCCGAAACTGCCATCCATAAAAAAAAAAAAACGGAGGAATATAAGCACGCTGCATATCGTCCGAATATAATTGACATTGCCAGCGAAAGTGGAATACCACGGGCGCCTCGAAAGGTCACCGGTCAATCGACTCGATCGGTTCGGTGGGCAGTGCCGAACGGCGGCCGCAAAGTCGGTGAAACAGTCACCCGGTTGAGCTCGATCCCACCAGGGGCCGGGAGGGGGAAGGGGGGCAGCGGCAGACACGGCAGCACGTGACCTAGTAACACGTAACCCGGTGACAGGAGTGACAGGCGTGTCACGCTGCACGCGCAGGTCACGAATGGCGCTGTTCCGCGATCAGAGATGACATCGAGTCAGCATTGGATGTGACCGGTGTCGCTAACGCCGGCAAAGGAGGGCGGGTGGGTGATAAGCAGAGACAGAGAGAAAGAGAGGAAGGGTAAGAGGGAGGATGGGAGACAGAAAGATGGATGAGGATGAATAGATAGAAGGAACGAAAGAAGAACGAGAGTAGCCCGAATGAGCTGTCCGGTCGTTGAATCGAAGCAGAAATGGATGTCTGACGTGACCAAAGTCCAACAAGGTCTGAGGAACCGAAAAACGTCCCGTGCTTGCTGAAATATTCGTGGAAGGTGGTGGCGTTTTCACACGCACAACAGCAATCACCTCAGGAACTGATAGGCAGAGTGATTAGGAATCGGCAACTTGATCTAACATTTCCAGTAAGCTTCGAATTGATCTAAACTTCATGGGGCAAATTTCAAATGGATTTCATTATCGACTGATCGGCTTAGGAAGGAATGAATGAATTCTTTTTTACGGACTACATTATCAGAATAAATCAAATAACCAAGGGCTATTCTTTGAACAAACATCGAACAATTACAGACAACATTTTCCTCGGATTTCAGCTTTCTCGGACTCACACAGTTCTCTGACACAATTCATTTTTATTGCAACTAATGCCTACGGCTTTTGTTGACATCACTGCCCACCATTGACGAAATACACTCGAATCTCGGGTCATTATCATGTCGAACGGCCAGCTACTAACCCTGGAAACAGCCACCAAAACCGGCGGCTTCCAATACCAGCCCTTCATTTCAGCCACTCACTAGATAATAGAGAGCCGTGTCCTCCCATCAGACGCCGTCATTGTCATGCATCAAACAGCGTCTTCAGTCCGGTCTGCCCATCCAGGTCCAGAGCTGACCTTCAGCCACGTAATCCCATCAGTGTCCACACCGGGCCGATACCGGGAGCCGGGCAGGGCCGCCACAAAGGCCAAAGGTGCCGTCCGACCGTCCCCGTGTCATCCGTGACATTCTAGACCAGCACGTGCCTCATACGGTTTTAATGACATAACACGGGTGGAGCAGCTGGTTCATGACAGCAGCCGTCTGGTTATGTAACACAGCGGCGGCAGCATAAATGGCACTGCAGAGCGGACTCAGCTAGAAACAATATGCGGCGAGCTACCGCCGCGCTTCTGCCGAATCCTCGGTCCAATAAAAAAGCCGCAGCATCAACGACAAAAGCGGCGGCGCAGATCACACAGGACAGAAGGCACAGACCTCTTGTCAAACCACGGGAGTCACCGTCCCTCTTCCTTTCCCCGTCCTTCTCCACCTCGGCACTGGGGCTGGGGGGATGGGGTGCGTGGCACCGTGCCCACAGCCAAGACGTTTACATCGGTACCGACAGCATCCAGCCGACTCCGGAACAAAGCCGGGGCAGGGCGGGGGCGAGCCGAGGCGGGCCAGAGAGGGTGGTCGGGGATCGAGGCAGGCCAGGGTGGGACGGGGGCGGACTAGAGCCAGGCGGGGGCGGGGTGGCTCGAGGCGGGCCAGGCAGGTCGGGACACGATACGGCGGAGACCAGAGAGGGGTAGGAAGTATAGGATGGGATGAGGATGGATCAGACGGAGCAGGGGACGGGCCGTGACAGGACAGGTTAGATCAGCGAGAGGAGGGGCGGATCACGGCTAAAACAGAGCTAAACGAGGCGGAGCAGAGCCAACCGAGCAAAGGCCAAGAGCAGAACAGGAGAGGAAATAAGAACGAATCGGTATAAGAAAAGATCAGGACGATGGACAGAGTAGAGCAGGACGGAGACCGACCAAGGAGGGTGAACGAGAGGAGATAACACTTCATCGTTTACAAGACTACATAGCATGGTGCACACTGCACACCATCAACAATTCAACGCCCTTAGTTCAGCTGCTCTTGGACACCACAGCTTTGAATAACCGCTATAAATCAGGATCCGTATGATGCTAAATCGGCTTACTAGCACTTGATGATTAAATAACTACCCTGCCCTTCACAACTCTACAAGGGTCTACCGAGCCCGATTACATCATACATGAACAGATACGGGGAATTAACTATGTACTGACGCGAGGCGACTCCGCCGTGCTTAATCTTAGCGTCCCTTAGTTAGGCGCAACAATCCTGTCACAGCAGGCTCAAATGCCGTGACTGCACACACGGGCACGGCAGGTTGTCCCAGTGGTGCTCATTGTGTACCAGCCTAAGGCTATCATTACGGGTTACACGTTAAGTGTCAACCCGCATGGCATGGTAGCGTTTCGCAGCACGACTGGCTGTGACATTTACTGGGCCTGCACGCACGTCCACGCCTGTCGTTAGTTAGCGCTACGACACATACGTTCAGCCACATTAACCAGGGAAATGCTGATGCGTCGGCGACTCACCAACCTGCTTTCAACAGGCCTCTCACTCAAGGCCGAGCGGTGGCCAAAAATCGCCGACGGTAGCGAGGCACGTCGCTCCATTTCACCACTCCGGCCAGCTAAATACTTTATCAGACAGAGGAGGCTCCCGGCCGGTGTGAGCGGTCCGAGTTGCGTCACTGCACGCCGCCGGAGCGCCGGCCGACCGCAGAGGCGTTCCGCAGCACTCGTTCCAGGCCGGCTTCACGCCGATGACGAAACAAACCCATCCTGACGTCGTAAGGGAGGTTTGATGGCGAGCAGCCGGCGCCCGATCGCAGCCGGTGCGAAAGGTGTAAGGAAACGCAGATACAGCTGATAAGACCGATATCTGTACCGTCGGACTTGCTCAATACCTGAGTGAGCGGGGTAATTGCGGTGTTTTCGTTCACATGTAGAACATGGGAAGAGGTCATGCACCATGTAACGCTGCAACACAGTCGATTCCGAAACTGGGCTACACACCATGGAGTTGTGTCTTACCTTCACGCTTGTCGTTCCGCAGTACTTTGACCTTCTCAATCTTCTCCAGCATAATTCCATCCTCAGCTGAAACAGACATGACAATAAGGTCAGAAAAGAAGTGGCGAAAGATATTCATTGACATCGTATATCCGCGATAAGATGCGGAAGCATTCCTATGATAATAGAGTCCCGGTAAGACACACCGCACACATTCTACTGTATAACTATTGTACACGAATGATATTACATAACTAGACCACCCCAGTGTCTGCCGTCGCCAGCTCTCGTCCTTTTTCACATTTCCCACCGAACACACCGCCACCGATCCGACGAGCGCGCTCGACCGGCTCAGCGCGGATACAATGGCCGTAAAATTACGTTAACGTCGGCCTAATAGCTCGGGCGCAGGCGGCTGCCAGCCTGCAGGATCGAGTGCTCCCGCGGGCACGGCCGAGGACCGGTGCTCGCTCAAAGAAGAGTCCGACCGCACGGGATGGGACCGTGCCGCCCCGCAGGTCCCCGCCCACCGCCTACCGCCAACGTTCTAGTGTCTACCGACCACAGCCGGGCAGGCAGTAGCGCGCAGACCGCAGTCATTCACCAGCGTGTTTCAACGGCACAGTGGAAAATGCGCTCCGTAGAGCGGGCCAAAGGTTCCCTGGCGGCCCGCCGGCACCAAATGTGTTCCAACTGTGCGGACTTCAGATGCTGCCACTGACAGGCACTGAGAGGCGAGTGGCTCCACCGCCCCCGGGCGCTTCTACCAGCGGCAAACTTTGCCGCTGAAAAATCTGCAAAGGTTTCCCGGCCGCCAGATGCTACCGGCACGTTTTACATGCGTGGTGCCCTGCAATGCAGCACGTCTGCAGTGACTTTACCGTCCAGCATAAACGGACTACCAGACCAGACGACTGAGAAGATAAGGTCTGGGAATGCACAGCGTGGTCCACCACACAGTGGTGTATGGCCACGAGCTTTAGCGCGATAGTTTGTTGACAAGATGCCGCCAAGTGGTTAAGGTTATAGTACCCTGCTACACACGTCCCTAACTGGTTTGGGAACAATGAATAGGATAACAAAATATATGCCAAAATTCCGCCCGTCACAAAGGAAATTTCAATGAGTTTTCTGTCTAAAAATGGAGTGCTCCTATTTCGTTCGGAGGATAATGCATAACATCTTAATCCGTGCTTAAGATCTTTGAGACGCTTTATCCGACAAACAGGTTTTGTTCAGATCCTTGCCATTGTTAGATGCACGGCATTCGGGACCCTAAAGTTCCTGCACGATACCACAAAACACAATCAGTACCGAAGATCGTCTGCAAATGCATAAAAATCCAGATCGCCTTGTCTTTTAGGCACAGCGCTGAGTGCATGATGTGCGACAATGTTTCTTACCAAACACTCTGCGGTAACCAATCCTTGGCACACGTCTATCACATGCAATACCCACCATTCATCGGCATCGCATGTGCCGCTGAAAGGCAGTTTGTCCTCGCACGGGCGCGTGACCTATCACGGCGCAGTGTGCCGATCAATCACAAACCGACAGTGACTGGCTCAGCCACGTGTCACTCCCCGTCCCCCAGTGACCCGGCAGGTCAATGAGACAGCGCCCGGCGCATTAGGCCAGTGACCGGTGCTAACGCTAAATCAGGCGACGGTAGCCGCTCGGGCGTAAGCCGCCGCCCACCGGGCCAATTTGGGCACGAGCTGCGCCGGTCGGGCGGATCGATGTGTCGGTACTGCACCGGTCCCCTGCGGGCGGCCGGCACTGCACACGGGCACCTGTTGTACGAGTCCGTGGCCGTTATAGAGGCTAAATATGCACCGGTGCACCGCCGGTCACTGCTAACGCTGACAGGCTCATACCGTCCAGGGATTCAACTCATCGCTGAACTATTTCGGGTCTGATTGGTGCCATAAAACTTGTCACCGACAATTATGCATGGATTCAAGTTGGACAGATATTTTCAGCCCAAAGTGCACCATGAAAAGGTTGAAAAGACGATCAGCGAGCGGCTTTAAATTAAATATATGTAGCCCGGTAAATTGAATCCGCTTAATTTCCTGCCTTGAAATACGAGCTCGGACATTACGGTCAAATGAAGCAATGAAACCAATGCTGGTGGATTTCAGCAAAGCCACCTGAGACAGCCCAAAATGACTATTGAACGCACGACATCTTAGGCTCTCTTATAAGCCAATACCTTTTCTAAAATATTGGGTGTAAATTTCATTAGTTGAACTCACGCGCAGTAGCTAAGGACTAACAGTTTTAGGCCGTATGGCCATGAGGACATAAAACATTCTAACAAATAGCCAAAGTTTGATTGGGGTGATCGAGTAGGTCCGTGACTGTTAGCACGCCTCTGTTAATGTTTACGGTATTCACGGTCCTGTTAACGTTACTCACGGCTCTATTCACGAGCTTCACGGCACTATTCACGATGTCCACGGCCCTATTCACGATCTTCACAGCTCTGTTCACGGTACTGTTCACGACAATCACGGCCCTGTTCACGGTCATCACGATCAACTCACGGTTATCGCTGAAGTCGTCCACCAGGATGATCTCCTTGATCAGGTGTTCCGGGCTGCGGTTCAGCACGCTGCAACAATACAGTCAGCGTCAAAACAGTAAGCAACGGCACAGCAACATCGGCGGAGGGCACACATCAAAGCACATAGTGGTTCGACAGTAAAAAATATACAGTGTTTTGTTTTAGTCAAAATGAAATACGATTACTGTGCTTGTGCACAGAAGCATCTGTAACGTATCGTTTAATCGTTAATAACAACGTACATGATTGTCGGACAAGAGAAACTAACCACATACACAAGAAAAAACCGAAGCCAGTCTTGCAGGCGACATAGTCAATGCTGCTAGCCGCCTCCTAAGTCAGTTAAAACTAGGACGCGTTTACGGGAAATGTTGCTTTGCCTGTCTGGACTGAACAAATGCGCCCTCTGCATTATTCTACCTACCCATTGTGCTAACGGACAGCATAAAACTAACAAAAACGGATATATTATCCGTTAAAAACGGGATGGTGGAGCCGCATAACTGCAAACCAGAAATGCTGTTCGATTTCCTGAAGCCCCGTCGACCGGATGATGGCCGGAAAATTGGCCTACCATCGGCAGCGGTGAATCATGGAGAGCCGGGAGGACGTCTGCCGTGAGACGGTTGGCAACAGCGAGCGGCAGCTTAGTCGTGACGGCCGAGGAGACGTCATTGAGCAGGAGCTCTCAGGGAGTGGCAGACCGCACCCAGTCAGACGCCCCACTTCTGTCTCTTTTGCCTACTGTCTTTCCCACTTGTCTGCCTGTCTACTGGGGTACTCTTCAAACTCCATCCTGTTTGTGGTAAACACCGTTACAAGACTAGTCTGCCCGGAAACGGCAAAAAAAAAAAAAACGCGGAAATAAGTTCAGGACCTGAGCACCAACTCGCCAGTTCAATCGTGAGACACTGGTGCCTTATTTGGCAAAGGCTATTGTCGGCATTCAAAACAACAAAAGATAAAGACACGATGGGCTTTCTTTCCTCTAGCCTCTGTCGATTCGCCCTGACGATATAACTCCACAGGCTTGGGTGCATACTCGAGATATCAGTCCATCAAAAATATATCCAATATAGGGCTTACTACAGAGGGGAGGTCCAAAACACACTTTGACGAAACGAACGATACAGCAGCTGATGCCGCCACCACCGCATGCTCAGTGTCTCCGGCTCATCTACCGCCGCCGCCTACGCTTTTCTCTTATAAAATCCCCGAACGCCTGAGAAAAACGATCAGTAACCACAGCGGCCTGGACAGGCTTAACCCTCGCCCGCACATGGGGGGGGGGGGTTGCCACCCTCCCCCCAGGTAGTCTTTCTGCTCTGCACTCAACATTTTTAGAGCTAGAAGGCTGGTTTTTCGTATAGCTGCTCCTCTATCCTTTCTTGATGTCCACTGAAAATTTCAAGTTTCTGTGATTTTTGGTTTCGGAGATACGACCTTGTTTTTCAGGTCACGTCATGACCCAAATGGCCAATTCTCAACATCTTGCGTTTGCCATGGGCCTTGTGAGCTTTTGACACCCTGATTTCGGCCTTTTTTGCCAGTCTTACCTCCCACCTATCATGGAACATGTTGTTCGACGATGTACAGGGGTCAAGGTCAGGGTCAAGGTCAACCTAGGTCATCTAAGATAATTGCGTTTTAGGCAAGCTGAATTTACTTTTTTGAAGTTTTTTTTACTGCATTTTCGGTAAAAGCTTCTCAGATCATGATTTCATGTAATATGGACCCAAAAACAATCGGTGCACACATCAGTATACACACAGACACACACAGACATACAAACACATATAATTGACCTTGACCTATCACCTAACTTGACCTGAAATGACCTCAGCAGCAAAAATCTGGTCGGGTAGTGTGACACAGAGGTTCTAGCTGGCTTGGCACCAGAAAACAGCATCGTCATCGGTATTTGATAAGCAGCGCACTTGATATCCAACGGTGACCCAAAACAGCAACATTTTTTAGTTTGACCTGACCTGGAAGGTCAATGACTGACCTGAGAAGGTAAAACTGGGTATCATTGGATTCGTCTCTTCCCAAAGAATCTTTTTGGTCTTTACCGCTAAGCTCTATCTCCAACAGGAACGAAATGGCGCGGGGGGTGGCAACCACCCCCCGTGCGTTCTAGGATGGGAAAATGGCATGTGCGGGCGAGGGTTAAGATCAGCTCAGAGCGGTCTGAACAGGCCCTAAGTTAGCCGGGAAGTTACCGAAGGCGGCTAACCCGGGTGACGTCTGGGCGGCCCGGCACGGAGCAGCACTCCCCATCGGGTAGGTACCGAGAACAGTGGGTGGAGGCGGGCAGAACCCGTCTCGTCGGGGATTTAAAAACTGGTTAGTATTCTGCACATACCAGAGCGGAGTTTGCACTTTAACAACACCGCGCTAACTTGTGGGATAACCGCCACCGACGCTGTGAAAAGGTACACCTGCTGGAAGTGTAGAGTCAAACACCCGCCCAAATAATCAGTTGGTCTAGAATTAGCGCTGAAGAGTTGCTCAGTATGAAATAGAACTACTGTACTATCCACTAAATAAATCGCGCAACACCGCTATAACCCAGCTTCTGTACCGCCGCGCCAGCCCAGTGGAGGACTGACTCCACCATCTGCCGCCTGCGACCGTCCGAGACGCACCTCATTTACATACGAACGCTACTTTCTCCGCGGCGTGCGGCCGCCCTTCCTGAGTACACCGGCAGTCGTCCCCGCCTACAGACGACGCCTCGGCCCCCGCGCCGCCCTCGGATAGTCCTGTTGAGCTGTGGGCCACTCACTAGCCACACATATCTCAGTTGGGACGGTCGGTCATGGGTCGCACGGTCCCACCCCAGACGGATGCGGAGGGATGAATGGACGCGCTCGGCCGTGGGCCTGATTCAGCACCGGGCGGCGCCCAGCGGATCACATTAGCCACAACATCGCCACGGGTGTGATCAGCCGCCGCGAGACGCAGTGTTTGTGTCAGCATTAGCGGTGTAGCATTTCCAAAAAGAGTTACCGACACAACAGCGACTTTGGAGACAAACATCTCGATGTTCGGGACGCCCACAAGGCATGAATCGCCGAGCATAATTTGAACTTTTTTAAAAGTAAAATAGCAAAAATAGTAACCGCTGCCGGAAGAGCTGTCTCCACTAAGCCTGTCTTGGATCTCAGACGGTCTCCGGTATACCTACACCGTTACCTCTGACAGTGACCCCAGTGACCTACCGGTGACCCCGCCTCACCTGACGACAGTCCTGAGCAGCGTGGAGCGCGCCTCGTTGTGGAAAGTGATGATGACACTGGTGGCCGGCAGATCCTGCCGCCATATCCGCTGCTGACATCTGAAGGGACATAACGGGTCAGGTTAGATCAAAAAGAGCACACAGTAGGGTCTTAGACGTGGTCATAATACACATCAGTTTACATTCTTAGTATGCAAGTCACAAGTTCACGGAATAGTGTGGCTAGGTGAACTTGGATGAGCCCTAGTTCAGGAAGACCAGGATTTACCAAACTGGACAAAGGAGAGCCCATCCTAGAGATAATCGCTGGGGCTGATCAGGATTCAGGATGCCGGGATTTTAGACATGTGCCAGACTAGCTAAGCTGTGTTGTGAAGTGGATCGGCTGGATCTAGATTCTCATGCAACCTATGTATCGTAACAGAAGCCCGTTTTTTAATAGAAGATACGCATGTGATTCGGCGCTTTCGCCAGCAAGGCGTAATAACACTCGCAAAGAAATATTAATTTATTGCTCATCAATGATGAGAAGTGGATGAATCCAGCTATAGAACACGTAGAACACGTGGAGCACAGTTGCAAAAATCACCAATCAGTATGAATGCAATGAAATAAGGCTCAAGGTCTGAACAGTTCGAAGTAGAAACAATGAAATCTGAATCATTGTAACGACACCGTGCGATGAGCAGCCGGCGATAAAAATGGAACAATAGTGATCAATCATGTCACGCCAGCACCGGACAACGGTGGAACCATTGCATACATGTGTTGCACAGGCACGTGGCACCCAGCTGTTCCGACCGGTCGACCCAGTCCCGGCACCACGCCCTCAGCAGCGGTGACGCAACCCCTCCCCCGAGCCACCCATCACCCTTCAGAGAGCGGCCGTGAAGGCCGTGCAGCCCATCGCGCCGGTCGGCCGCCGGCCCCAGGGCAGAACCCGGCGGCATAGACGTGCCTCTGTACCTCCCCTGCTGAGAGCCTCGCCCCTTCCCTCTCCACTGACTGGGAGACTCAACTGGGACACGCCCCGGCCCAAGGTCACTGGAACGACGACAACACGTGACGTCATCAGCATCCCGAGTAGTCTTCCCAGAACTGCAGAGAGAGGTGTATTGATTCGGTTGGAAGCCGACATTGAGGTTTGTCAAACACCGTGATCAGCAGTCAGCACCGTCAGCACACCTTATCATCACTATCCTTGCAGCGTAAGTCCTTGTATTGCACTTTGACCCGAAATAAATGTATTTATGTTGAGCCCCCGGGCATAACCGTAGCTGCCCAGTGGGACTGCTGATTGTTGAGGCCGGGACGGTGCAGGCGACTGGGCCGGGTGGGAGGGGGAATGACGAAGAAATGGGAGCTTACCGGTTATCCAGTGCCCAGGACATCGGACCCAGCCGCAGATCGGCAATCGAAGGAGGATCACAGGGGTGATAGGCAATTAAGGTAGAAACTACATTGGACGGAGAGCAATGATCCCCAAGTCTCCCAGAATATCCTGGCAGCTTTGAGGACATCAATGACCATTACCCTTTCATTCCCTTGTGCAAATCAGGCCTTCCATATGCAGAGTGTCTGTAGGACTGAATTCATGGCCACCTCCTATGTGACCGCCTCTGCCCTGCATACAAGACACATGACGTCATTATTACGTCACGCCGCACCCAATGACCAGGGCCAGAGTGCAGCCACCACCGTCCCCCACGGCTCTCGAAGCCGAGATCAAGTCATCGTTCTCCGTAGCTGTGGCGGCTGACCGCATCGAGCCGGACCCGTCTACAGCCTCCGGTGTGGAGTGTGGACAATGGAGAGAGCCATGGAGTCTGACCTAGAGAAGGGGAGAGGCTCTGGTGCTTGTGCACCGAACCGACCCTCCCCCTATGGACCCCCTCGGTCGACCCTGGACCTTGTGGCGGCTCGGCGACCGCCGTCTCGCGACACTGCACCAGAGCAGGGGCGTCCTTGACAGCTCCGCCGGCGGCCCGTCCCGTCCCTCTCCCTCCCTTCCCCGATCCCTCCCCGTCAGCTAGCGACCCCTCTCTCGTCCCACCCCTCCCAGATGACCGCCTGGAGGTCACACTACGGTCCGGTCAGCAGTGGCCGATCCACGGCCCGGGACCAACTGACCAGACGGGAGCGTCTTGATCAATCAGCACGCTAGGGACCGCCCGGGGTAGATCGGGCCCGGCCCGAGTCAGTGTGGTCCGGTGAAGCGTTGTCCGCCCGGGGTAGATCGGGCCCGGCCCGAGTCAGTGTGGTCCAGAGAAGCGTTGTGTCATTCCGGGAACGCCACGCCCGCGGGCACAGCGCTGACCGTCGCGTCGGAGGCAGACCCTCCCTGACCGGCCAGACAACCCTGCACCGGTCCACCTTGAGTGGTGCTCCACTTTCCCCGGAGGAGCGCCCCTCCCGCGGCGGCGACCGGGCGGCCGCGGCGGTACCCTCTGCCTGCCGCCCCCGGGCGCGTACCGATCCAGGCCGCGCAATGTCGGCTCAACGGCGCCGCCTCGCAGGTTACTGTAGCGTGACGCAAGGATGAATGTGAGCCGTATAAGTGTGAGTCAGCTTCAGCGTCGAGCTGTGAACCGGTGACCCAGCGTTGGTCATAGCCGCCGGCATCTGATGCCGGCAGGGCCGAGTTACACCCTGCAAGTAGCTGGGCCGGGCATGACGTATGGGAGCATGATTGGCTGGTTATGATGTGAGATATATGACGTATGACAGCGCGATTGGTTGGTGATGATGTGAGATGTGTGTCTGCAAGCTGTGGATGTGCCAGGAGGGGGATTGTGAGTTAGTTGGCTGGAAGGTGTAGAGGAGAGCAGAATAGATCTTCTTCTTGTGCTGGACGGTGACTTTTAAGTCAGTACGACAAGCTATTTCGGCCTTCTCGACTAAGTGTTGTGATTATGTCTGACGTAGAAGAGGGCAGTGGTGCACCGGTAGCTGGTACCAATACCATGGAACCAGAGTTTCCTGCGCCTGCATTCGATCTGCGGGCAATACCGGAGTTCGACGGCAGCGGTGACGTCGTCAGATGGCTGGAGCAGGCGACACAGCTGTGTGCCCTGCGTCGTGTGTCACTGGCCGCTGTCATACCCACACGCCTGAGGGAACAGGCGTACGAGGTGTGGGCCACCCTCTCCTCCACCGAGCAGCGGGATGCTGCAATCGTCCGCCAAAAACTGCATCGTGCATTTGCATTGGGACCCGACGCGGCTATGTATGAGCTGTATCACCGACGTCTACAACCGGGCGAGTCTGTGGATGCCTACCTGGGATCAGTCAAGCGGCTGATATCCCTCATAGGTTCAGTGTCCAACGAAGTGATGACGACGCACTTCCTGCAAGGTCTGCCGCCGGAGGTGCGGCTAACAGTACGTAACAGTGCTGGAGATGAAACACTCTCCTTGGAGCGAGCCGTCGCCGTCGCTAGGTCAACGTTGGCGATGGCGGCCAGGGAGAGAGCGACTGCATCGGTGGCTGTCGTCCAGCCGCCGCCATCATATGTACAGCAGCAGCGGGGAGCCAGAGGGACGGGTCGCCGTCCACCACTGCGGTGTTGGACCTGTAACCAGGTAGGCCACATCGCCCGGCTCTGCCCAAACGGGCACGGCGACGGCGCTACATCAGCGCCACGGGCTCCGCCGTCGCCAGCTGCCGCAGTGACCCAAGAGCCCCCATCATCGACATCAATGTAAATGGGCGCAAGTGCCGAGCACTCGTCGACACAGGGTGCAGCGAGACAGTGGTGTGGAAGGGCATGGTGTCCTGCTGGGAGCGGAGTTACGCCAGCTTGGTCGCTGTCAACGACAGCCCGGTGCTGTGCTGTGGGCGGGCTGTGGTCAGCCTTGGAGTGCGCGGGGCGACAGTGAGTGTGCGGGCGGTCGTCGTACCGGCCCGGTTGCTGGGCGTAGACGTGTTGCTGGGCATGACCGGCATTGACGCCCTGCAGGGCGTGAGTGTAAGTGGAGGATCCGTTCGTTTCGGGAGCGACAACCCAGTTGCGAGCGTCGACACGGCTGCTGTGGTGCAGCGTGAGGCCCCGCCGGAGCGGGAGGTGTGTCGAGCGGTCGACACGGCTGCTGTGGTGCAGCGTGAGGCCCCGCCGGAGCGGGAGGTGTGTCGAGCGGTTGACACGGCTGCTGTGGTGCAGCGTGAGGTCCCGCCGGAGCGGGAGGTGTGTCGAGCGGTCGACACGGCTACTGTGGTGCAGTGTGAGGCCCCGCCGGAGCGGGAGGTGTGTCGTGCGGTCGACACGGCTGCTGTGGTGCAGCGTGAGGTCCCGCCGGAGCGGGAGGTGTGTCGAGCGGTCGACACGGAGCCGGAGCTAAGGATTGACGAGACTGACTTCACGGCTGTGTTCGATGATGTGTGGACAGTCCGTTGGAAATGGGCCGGTGGCGTGGCTCCGCCCCCGCTTGGAAACTCGATAGCTCAGTACGGTGTGCCGAGTTGTGCGCGTGAAAAATTCGATGCAGAGCTGGCGCTGTGGATTAGTGAGGGCTGGCTGCGCGAATACGATGAGACGATGTACGGTCCCGCACAGGGATTGATCCCGTTGATGGTGGTTACTCAGGCAGCGAAGGACAAGGTGCGGCCGGTGTTAGATTATCGGGAACTCAATCAACACCTGACACGTCACACAGCCGACGCTGACGTCTGCGTGGAAGAGCTGCGAAGGTGGCGACGTCACGGACGCCGGGTCGCTGTCCTGGATCTGAAGAAAGCTTTTCTTCAGCTTCGTGTGGACCCGGCCCTGTGGCCGTACCAGACAGTCATCGTGCAAGGGCGGCGGTACTGCCTGACCAGGGTCGGCTTTGGGCTCAGTATCGCGCCTCTGATCATGAAGGCTGTGGTCAGGAAGGTGCTCGCACAGAGCCCCGGGTTGGCAGAGGCAGTGCTGCCTTACGCCGATGATCTGCTGGTCAACGAAGCGGTGGTCTCGGCTGATGAGGTTGCCGAGCACTTCGCTCGATTCGGGCTCACATGCAAGCCGCCGGAGCGGGTCGCGACCGGTGCACGTATGCTGGGCCTTCGTGTCGCCGAGAGCGACGGGCCGGCACTCCAGTGGAGTAGGGACGGGGAGTCACCAA